TAGATTCTCTCTCTGCCAAATGCAAAGGTATGTTTGACTTGCGAATACTTTGTGTGGGCACGTTGACGAGTAGAATAATTATGCGGATTTGGAAAAATTATTACAAAGCAGCTTGCAAATATGTTTGTGCAGTGATAACATTTTCTTTCTGTAATGTGTATTTCAGTTAACGTTTCAGCGTGTCCAAAAGGTTGGGTCCCATTCGGAAAATCATGTTACCTCGTCATCAACATTCGAACTCTGAAATGGAGCGACGCTCGAAGAACGTGTCAGAATTTAGGAGGAGATCTCGCCGTGGTCAAAACTTCTGCGGAAAACAAGTTTATCTATGCGTTGATGAAGAAGCAGAAGACAGTTACGAATTGGGGCTTGTGGCTTGGTCTCTACCAGAAGGCCGATGACAAGTACTACTGGATTGACGGAACTCCATTAGCAGGACGGTATTCCAAATGCTTATCCGGCGAACCTAACCATCCAGGGAAGGAAAGATGCATCAATATGTACGGTACAGTCGGCCACGGAAATTGGAACGACCTATCATGCGAAGTGAAAACGCACTATTTTCAGTACGCTCCAAGTACTCTTTGCCAAAAAGTTCGTTGATTGTTACCAAAACACTGGATGTGGACGTTAGAGCATATTAGCTTCAAACTTGTTAAACTACCGAGTAAGGTTTTAGAAAACAAAAGAGAATAAATGACCCTCAGTATGTTGAAAAATTTGCTTCAAATTTCTCGTCCTTCGCCATTCCCCAGGATAAAAAGTTACTTTATTCTGTCGAGGACCTCTCTGAAAATCGCTCAGCAAGGATGGAGGCGAGATGGTCCTGATTAGCATTGATTAGTACATATACCTACTATTTCATTATTCACTTTAAGTTTCTGATCTCTTAGCGGACATAGCGGAAGAACAATGATTGGGTCTTGTGCCTTTCTCTTACACTGCAGTTAACGGTATGTGGTGAAATACTTTTTAAAGCCAAGCCGTTTCGGTTGAGAAGAAAATTTCAAATGAACTTTCAATTTTATTTCTGATAGGAGCTACGTCTCACCCCTGAAGAGCAATACATTACCAATATTACATTTCAGGTCGGCGATTTTGTGTGGGATAACGTACACATCTAGGCATTTTCCTCATTATGCCTCATTTAGGCTACGTTTTTACATTAAATATCCGAATTGATAAGAACAGAGCTTCTAAATGAAAGCAATGCATAGATAGAGAATGGTTTGAGCGTATTTTGCTACGTGGTCTGCTGACTTGGAAAAAAATTTTCTCTCGATGGCACACGAGGTTTTAATGAGTCGCTTTAAAACCACCCGAAAAACCAATCGAATCATTGAATCGAGTAGACTGAGAAACTGAGGATTTTATCAGCTGATGGCAAAGAGCTCACGATCTCTTTTAGCTCAATAGAAAATTATTTCATGGCTTCTAAGAACGAATTTTTCTTACTAAAACCCACAATAGTTCCGAAAATTCTTTTTTGCCTCTCTTACTGACCAAACAATTCATCTCGGAAGTTCTCCAGTACGATGACCAATCTTTTTAAAGGGTGCATTCCGAGGGAATACGCCTCTTTGTTCAGGTTAAAACACTTCCCAAAGCATAGATCCAAAAAATATATATATTCAACGTAACAACATTTAGAATATCTGTATCACTGATATGGTGACTTATCGGTCGCGGCGCTGATCAGCTTGTTAGCGCCACGTTGTGCTGTTGGTCGAGACACTGTATCTTTTTAAACACGAAGGTGCGCTATAAAAGGAGCCTTAGGTCCCACTGGACCATTTTTCAATCAAAAGTCGTGTGATGTAGAACTCTAAGAGTCAAGTCAGCTTGAGCAACAGCTACTCCAAAGCAGTAAACAGCGAGCGCATTCCTCAAAATTATTTTATGTCTTCATCACAATACAAGAATTTTTGAGATTTGTATTTCCTTTCTCCAATTGAAACTGTCTTTATTTGTGGCGGTAAATTTGAGATCGAAGTCAGCGGTTCACACGTTACCTCATGCCACCATGCTGGTGGAAGTAAACAATAGATATTTCATAAGCTCCTTTTGTTCGTCAACCAGCATTTAAATTTGACCCGCACACGTCAACGGTGAGTGACAAATGAGCCTAGGTCTTCCCAGGGAAGACTTCCTTATATAGCGCGCCTTCGTGTTTAAGAGATCTGAATAACCAAACATGTCATTCCCAGTCCACCATCAGCTCCTCCTCGTCAGTTACCTTTCTTTTAGCATTATGGTATTTCAATCGCCAAAAACTAATAAAGCTTTGTATCTGTAAAAAAAGAAAAAGAAAAAAAAAAAAGAAAAAAAAAAGAAAGAAAATCCACGTGTTGATTCAAATCGTATTAATACGTTGTAAATGAATCGTTTGAGTATCCTTAAAAGTCAGTCTGATGAATGAGTCAAGTTCAGTCAATCGTTTGAGTATCCTTAAACACGAAGGCGCGCTATAAAGGGAGCCTTAGGTCCCACTGGACCATTTTTCAATCAACCGTCGTGTGATGTAGAACTCTAAGAGTCAAGTCAGCTTGAGCTACAGCTACTCCAAAGTAGTAAACAGCGAGCGCATTCCTCAAAATTATTTTATGTCTTCATCACAATACAAGAATTTTTGAGATTTGTATTTCCTTTCTCCAATTGAAACTGTCTTTATTTGTGGCGGTAAATTTGAGATCGAAGTCAGTGGTTCGCACGTTACCTCATGCCACCATGCTGGTGGAAGTAAACAATAGATATCTCATTAGCTCCTTTTGTTCGTCTACCAGCATTTAAATTTGACCCGCACACGTCAACGGTGAGTGACAAATGAGCCTAGGTCTTCCCAGGGAAGACTTCCTTATATAGCGCGCCTTCGTTTTTAAAATCCAATGGTATTTGACTTTCAAATGTCACGTACACCCCGTAAATTATGAAAGTTAATCGACCTCGCTTATCTTGAATGGCTCAACTATAGATAAATGTTACTCAACCAAAAAATTTGGGAAATATCGTTTGATGAAATTGGTATACAACCAATCAACCAGCTGTTTTTATTCTGCCCATCGTCTCGATCACTAGTACATCTGTGATTTGTTTACATTACAATAGAGCAACGTGAATCATATTCTTGTTTCCAACTGTTGACATGGTCTTTCTTTCTTTTTTTTTCCTGCCACCAGTGCAAACAATATTTCAGGCAGTATTCTGTTTGGGTAAAAGGGGAACCAAACACTTTTTCCGAAAACTGTGCCCATCTGTATGGAACCAGGGCAGGCAGGGAACTTGGAATGTCTTAACGTGTGACTTGTTCTTTGCAAGAAAAGGCTAACAGAGGCAGTTGACAATACTGCTGTTTTTTTTTTTTTTCTGATTAGTCGATTGTCAGAAGATTCCACCAGATATATCTAGATAATACGGTGTACCGTCAGTTAAACCTTGGCGATGGGAAGGAGTGCTCATTGAGTCTGATTGTCCTCGATCGGCAAAATTATCCTCTTTAATCATATATCTAATATTTTTAGACAATTCTCGTTCGTCAACTACTTTTCATTTGGACATATCATCATTCATGACGGTATTTCGGTTTCAAACGACTTTCATTTCGCCTGTTTTATATATTTCAATGGAAATTTGGCTGTATTTCCGATTTCATATCTGATGAATCTCAATGACTTGCTCTCGAAGCTCAGAACATGATCATTTTTTATCAATTCCGTTTCGGGGAAACTTGGTTAGAATTGCTGCACAAATAACTCGTGACGCTGCATGGGTACATACTCACCGTGCACTTGTCCAAATAATACGCCAAATTTATCTCATTCCGCACGTTTTAGGCAACGTTTTAGGAACAGTAAATCCACCATCAGTTTAGCCGCTACGTCACAGCTTTCGACACAGTCATGATCAGGGTTCATCGGCTAAACTTAACTGCCTGGTGTGAAACGGGAACCCATAGTTATCCTTATCTCTGCTATGCAATAGTTATTCCTGGAAAATTATATTATTTTCAGCAGAGCCAATAATAAATGTGAGAACAACATCATTCAGGAATCATTCAAGAAATCGTAAAATAAAAAAAAAAATAACAATTTTGACTGTGCCATCAGCACGTTTCATTTCGCTGGAAAACTGTCACGGTCGTTATCAGTTGATCCGATAATAGATGCCAGGACGAGATCCTTCGGGAAAATAAAAAATCATTCCGATGTTCTCATTAGCATGTTTAGCACAAATCGATAGATCTATTTCTGTCAACTTGACAGCTGTCTAGCAATTACTAAAATCCGAAGGAGGCAAAATTCTTCCCCGAAACATCGAATAAGAACAGAGCTATCTTAAATGACGTATTAGTAAGAATTGTTTTTAATCATATGATTGTCACGTGGTCTACAGATTTTAAACGTAAATGCCACATCATGCAACATATTCTTTTATTTGCAGTGACACAAAATTGAATCATGTTCTTGTTTGAGTTCCAATTTACCACGTCAACTTTCTTTTTTGTTTCCTAGCCGTAAACGAACAAAATCGTTTAAATATAGGGTGAATGCACGTTAAACGACCTCATACCAGTAAATTAGTGTACATGTTGCAGTCTTCACATCATATTCAAACGTTTGGACTCAGCCTTTCGTCGAAATGTTTTGTATTTGGGCCATAATTTTCATTTTCCATTTAGGGCTATCCACTTCTGGTATTTCACTAAATGTCAAGCTTCAAAATTCCACCGGTGTTACGTCGGTTATAAGTAATAATCATGGAACACCACGTTCATATTATAAAACTTTTAACTTCAAAAACTGGAGACTTGAAAAGATTGAACAAAAATTGCTATTGGACATTAAAACCCAAGAACAGCGGAACAGAATTTCCATCACGGGCACTGGGACTGAGCGGGTGTTAGCGGTGGACACTGGTCTAGAGCCTCGTTTCGAAAAACAATTATTTCATTTTTGCCTGATATTGGGGGGATTGCAGCCTCCTCCAGTCGCCCAAGCAGTTCCAATAGGTCTCTGAAGTCAGTCAGATGGACTCTGACGGCAATTTATCACGGTATGTTTTATCACGGTATGTTTAACTAGATTATATTGCTGAATCCACAATAATCCAGGCTTCAACCTGATAACTGAATAAAGGGATTAAGTCTCTAAAGAAACTGTGGTGCTGCATCGGTACGGGGTATAACAAGATAACTAAGTTTTATCAACTGAGTTGATAATGTAAATTAGCCTCCATTAAAACTGCGCATGCCTCATAGCCGGACGTTTCGAGCATTAGCCCTCTTCAGAGCAATTAGAGGAATCAAAGGTTGTGTGTGATAAAACCAAATTAACTTTATGAACGATGTTTTCTGTTGCTAAGACTTTTCTTTTGATTACGTTTTGGTTGCATTTCCAGCGAGTTAAAGGGTTGGATCCTTTGGAAAACTATGTGAGCCTATCAACAACATGTGAGCCTATCAACAACATTCTAATGCTGAAATGAAACGACACACGAGGGATTTGGTAAAGGACCGCCGTCATCAACCTGCTAATGGTTACAAATTCATCTTTGACATGGTGGAAAAAATCAGGTGGCCTGAAGTTACGAGTTGAGTTGTTTGGGCTTGTCTCTGAAAGGCGTAGATACCACGTTGTGATCATGATGAGTTAACGATACTCTACCGTGGGAAAGGATTCTGTATGGTCTATACAGGAACTTAATAGTTCCCATAAAGTGAATGATGAGAGATGATGAATTAGAGACCGATGGCGTTGGATAGTGGAATAACTCACGGGAAAAGTTTGACATAAACATGCGGCACGGCCGAAATACGACTCGAGTACTCTTTGGAAGAAAAGGCGTTAAGAACTGATACGGTAACGTATTTTGTACAACTTCAAAGCTCAGGGTTTTATCTTTGTCGAAACACGCTGAGAACTAAGATTAACAATCGGTCGCAACGTCTGTAACATAAAAGTCAACTCATTTGTTTAATGAATTATTTAGTTACGTCAGTGATCGTAATTAAAAATCATAAAATAACGGAGAAAGGAGATCTAAACCTCCGTTTTTTTCTTGCGCTTGCACCGGTTTCCAATCTTTTCCTCTAACTTAGCCATATTAATCTGCTCTTTACTAAAATGTTACTTTTTTTGATCCAGCGGTTAATCAGGGGAGGCGTGTATCCAAGGGAGACCGGTTTAAAGACAATTTTGCTCCCGGATGCGGCGTTTAAACGCCGCCCTGTCAACCCTGGGACAAATTTGCATCATGATTTATGAATCTAAAATTATGGATAAAAGCTCTATCAGTTGAAATTATATCGATAGTTAGGAAAAATTTGCCGAAGAAAACACAAGCACACACAAAAAGTGATATTGTACAAATGACCATGTCCTCGGTATTTCGTTTAAGGCAGCATGCCACGGGTACGGTTTTCTGACTTTTCGGTTTTTCCGTTTTTCAGATGTTTTTTTACAGTGTTTGATTTGATGAAATTACACGAAAATTTCCCTCGTAATTCAGTCTTAGTTTAGATTGCACCGCGGTATTTCAGTTTCGAGTGAATTTCATGCCGGTTCTTCTATTTTAATGAAAATTTTGGCTGTGTCCTTCTGGTTTGGTTTCTAATCGTCCTGAATGACTTGCTCTCGCAACTCAAACATCTTCATAATTTTTTATTAATCAATTGGGAAGGTTAGTTAACGCAAGAAGTTCGGCACGGCTAAGTGAAATTATTCCACACTGAAATAGCTCGTTCATTTGCTATCTGTACGTGCCTGATTTCTTTTGCGATTGAAGTTACGTATAAGCACATGGCGAATGTAGCGGTACTGTTCTCGACACATACACGCATGAAGTTTTTTGTTTGTTTTGCGGGACATATTTTGGACTTCGAAATGAGTGGCCGGGAATTTCTGCTGCTCAAGCAGAAAACATCAGTAAGAACTGAAACGCTATATTTTCAAAATTCACACCTTTCCAAGTTTCCAAGCTGCATTAAGGGAAACTACAGGGTAGAAACGATTCGTAGATGGATACTTCGATTAAAGTGATCCGGTTGCGGAAAATTAATTTATAGATCGAGGAATAACGTTCTCAAATGAGCGCTCCTTCTCCAGCCCACCCTCACTACTTCCCAACCTTGCCTAATAAAAAAAATAAAGTATTAGCTAACGCCTCCCTTTCTCAAACTGATTTTGAAATAAGCGACAAGATCTCTTCGGAAATTAAATGAAAACGCGCGTCAGGCTTCATCCATCATCAAGTTTATTTTAATTAGGATTAAAAGGTTAACTGGCAGTACATCATATTAGTTGTGTTTATCTTATGGAATCCTCAAACAATCGAGTAAGTCATCAAAAACAAAGCAGAATTGCCAGCTGCCTCAGTCAGCCTTTTTCTGGCAAAGAACGACTGGAGAATAGCTTAAAACCTGCTGGTTCAGGTCACACACTACGTCATTCCACTTTCCTTGTTGGTTCCCGTTTCCATACATATGTGCACAACTCCCTGTGACATGGTTTGCTTCGCCACCTGCCCAAGCAGAATACTGCCCTGCCTCCGCTGGAGTGTCGTCCACCCAGTAGAATTTGTCGTCTGCTTTTCTGTAGAGGCCAAGCCACACGCCCAAATATGTAACGGTCTTCTGCTTCTTCATCAACTCAAAAATAAAATTGTTTTCAACAGAAGCTTTGACGACAGCAAGATCTCCACCCAAATTCTGACACGTTCTTCGAGCGTCGCTCCATTTTAGTGATGGGATGTCGATTACGAGGTAACATGAGTTCTCAAACGGAACCCAACCATTAGGACACTCTGATGCGGTCACTGAGACAACAAAAATAACAAAAGTTCTAAACGCACAAAAACGCACAAAAACAATGATTAAGTTGATGAGTCAGAATTTTTCCAAAGCTGTATGAAATTTAACCAACAAACGTGCCCTTACCTTTGCATTTGGGAGAGAGAGAATCAACTCTGGCTTTGATGTCCAACAGCAGTTTTCGCTCAACTGTTCCGAACCCTCGGCTCTTTATGTTAAAAGTTTCTTCCACCAACTGTGGATCAGGTCCCAAGTTTTTGAAGTCAAACGTTTTGACACCTGAACGTGGTAGGCCTTGTTTGTTGATCATTTCCGACGAAACATCGAAATTTAGTGAAATGGTGGATCGCACTAAATGAAAAATGAAAACTGCGACCCACATATGAAACATTTTGAAGACGAATTCAGTCCGAACAATAGTGACTAATGCGAAGACTCCAACATGTGAGCTGACTTATTATATAATTATATATTGGTATGAGATCGTATAAAAAGCACATGACCCATATATATATATATATATATATATACGGTAAAGAAACTGAATAGAAAAGTTGGCGTGGCAATTTGGAACTTGAACAAGAAAATGATTCAGATTCTTTTACAGCGAAAACGAAACATCACTGATTAAAAGTTTATTTTTAAAACTGGTAAACCATGTAGCAATCACACCCCAAACATCTATTATTAGACGATGCTTTAGAAAGTTTTGTTCTTCTCAGTGAACCCTTCATGAAATAATTTTTCCTTACTCTGACCGCAGTGATTGCGTGACGTCTATCGCCACTTTGCAGCAAAGAATGTGAGGATTGACAGAAAACATACTTAAGGCACAACAAGAGTGATTTTTTTCTATTTTACAAATTCTTGAGTAATAAAGGGCCCAGCTGATGACGATGTAATTTTATACCCCATACGAATACAGTGTTTTCAGAATAAACTATTGCATAACAGTGACAAAGTCAACCATGGTTACCTGTTTGACAACAGAGAGTTAAGTTTAGCCAATGAATATTAAGACAACATCGAGAGGAGAGAGGCAAGGCTAAACTGATGGTTGCATTCATGGTTCCTTACACCATGTGTTAAATGAGATAAATTTGGGGTTTTATTTACACAAGTATATGTCGTGAGCATAACTCTACTCATGCAGTGTGTACTCATGCAGCGTCAGTGACAAATCAAACCAGGTGTAGAGAGCAAACATAACGAGCTTCAACAACGCTGAGTCATTGAGGGCTATCAGACGCGTGCGACTGATCAAACCGTAACTACAGATAAAACTTCCATTGTAATAGAAGAACCGAAATGAAAATCGCTGGAAACTGAAATACAGTCGTGAGTAAGGATTCAAATAATAATCGAATGACGAGCAAGATTCGAGTGTACATTGTGTAACGTCATCAAATTTTGAAAGATAGAAAAACCGGCGAAATTCGAGGTTTGTTTACTAAAGTGAAATACAAGGGACATAGTCATATGAAGTGTCAGTCAGTTTTTGTGCGCGTACGTGTTCTTCGGCAAAGCTCTACTGAACCATGGATATCATTTCAAATTTTTTAATAGAGGGTCTTAAGGGAGTTAGCAGTTTGCCATAATTGCAAAAAAAATTAGCCGTTAGGCTTAAAAAGTGAGAAATTTTAACTGTTAGTCGTAAAAAAAAGTCAACTGTTAAACCATCACACAACCTAGACCCTCCCAATACATGTAGCTTGGCTCACGGATTTGAGACTTTTTAATTACAAGGCAAGTTTGGAGAGGCTGAAGTACCATCCTCCCTCAGCCCTTTACCTTGATGCTTTAAAAACCATTCAGAAATGATGTCCACTCTTTTAAATCGCTACTCAACATGGCAGGAAATTATGTGGCTCTTTGTGATTAGAGTACTCGACTCCGCATTGGCACATTGGTGTGTGGGGATCTTCAAGCCACTCGCCTGGTCTGCGGACCTCTCGCCGGCTCGCTAGGCGTGCTTGGATGATGGAGGTTTGTTGTGCTCAAGACAAATAACTCTCAGTATTTTCCCCATTAAGCCACGAGATGAATTGCGACTCAAGTTTCAGTTGAAGAATTATTTTTCGACGCGATTGCGGTTGTAAGCATCACAAGACCAGCTCAGCTCCCTTAAAACTCAATTTGTTTTCAGCACAAGTCCGAGTTTCTTTGTGAAAGAAAATTGCATGGGAGCTGGCCAATAAGCTTTGGAAATCTATCCACCATTTAGGTCTTAAAATGAGAAATTAAATTAGCCAGTGACAAATAAGAAAGCTTTCGTCGGTGATGTTTGACAGCACTCCAGAGTGTCTAGAGGTCATGGATAATTTTCTTTCTTACTCAGTCCTATTCCTATCGAGCGATTTTTCTTTCCTTAATCATATTTTACAGGGTGATTAGTGATAATCCAGTGAATGATTTGAAACAAAAAAAATACAGTAACAGTCAAGGGGCGACTTGATAATCATACGTGCGCATTCTTTTGCGGTTCGAAATGACTGATATTTCTGAAGAGCAAGCAGCAGAACAGTTAATAACATAGAAACGCGATTTTTAACTTTTGAGTAATTTGAAAGTATTAAAAGTTTTGGACGATTCTAGATTATGATTTGAATGAGGATTTAGGTTTTATTTTGTTTGTTTAACTGTATCTATTTTTTTTTTTTTTTTTTTTTTTTTTTTGATTTGGCAGATCGAGAACAATCTGACTAGCTCGATGAGCGATCCTCTCCACACCCCCCCTGTCGAAAGCGTGCAAAAGCTGTACTCACCATTTATTCTCTTGATTCAATTTTGCTATTACACTTCAGTTAACTCCCACTCACATCTCTCACGAAAACACACACCACGTCTCATTGTAAGCACGTGGAACAGCGCCATATATGGGGCGATAAAACACGGGCTGCATACATGCTGTTTGGTTACGTAATAGACAAACAAAATCACTTATGATCTCACCAATTTTAAGATTAATAAATGTAACGTACAGTTTCTAACACCCCCTCCCTCATTTCACAAAGATTTGAAAAGATACTTAGAGCAAACTTAAAATGAAAACACACCTCAGATTTTATCTTTATTTATCCACAACAAAGTTTATTTTCAACAGGATCAAAGGTTTAATTAGTAGCAGTACATCGTATTTTCTAAATACCTAGTGAGATCTTTTGAAGATCGACTAATAAACTTATCGGAAAAAACTCGCGGAACTGCCAGCTGCCTCAGTTAGCCTTTTTCTGGCAAAGAACAACTGGAGTATGGCTTGAATACGAAATCTGACAAGGCAAGTCATTCCACTTTCCCTGCCTGCTCCCAGTTCCATACATGTGCCCACACTTTTCGGAAACGGAGTTTGGTTCCCCGCTCGCCCAAGCAGAGTACTGCCCTGCCTCTGGAGTACCATCCACCCAGTAGAACTTGTTATCTGCCTTTCTGTTGAGGCCAAGCCACACACCGCAGGTTGTGACTGTCTTCTGCTTCTTCACCAGGTCGAAGATGAACTTATTTTCATCGGCAGATTTGATGACGGCAAGGTCTCCTCCCAAATTCTGGCATGTTCTTCGCGCGTCACTCCACTTTGAGACTCGTATGTCGATCACAAGGTCCTGCGACTAGTCCCTGCGGGCATGTTCTTCGCGCGTCACTCCACTTTGAGACTCGTATGTCGATCACAAGGTAACATGACTTTCCGCGCGAAACCCAGCCTTTTGGACACGCTGTAACGGTCACTGATAAAACAATAAAATGAAGTGAAAATTGCAACAAAAATCTCACGAAGCTGATTCGTAAGAATTTTCCTAGACCCGTGTGAATAATTTTACCCGTCACTGTATCTAGACTTAAAGTATTCACAAGTCAAACACACCTTTGCATCTGGCAGAGAGAGAATTTACTTTGTCTTTGATGTCCATGAGCAGCTTTCGTTCAATCTTCCCGATTCCCCAGTTGTTGATGTTAAAAGTTTGGTCCACTGACTGTGGTGGTTCGGTATCTTTACTGAAACTGGACTTAACGCTGCTGGCATTTTGGTGTTTGACGCTTGCAGAGGCAGTGGATTGGACTAAAAAGCAAATCAAGACGAAATTTAAGTTCGATTTAGGAAACATTTCGAGTCCAAGTTTGAACTTAGAATGATCGTTAGAAAAACTATCGTTTTTAGCGCCCGTGATAGATCGGAGGACCGCAACAAATAAACTGATATATTTAAGTGTCTGAGTATAGGGAAAACTTTGACGTAGGATCCTGAAAACATGAAAATGATTCAAGATATTCTATTGTTGTTATCCAACGGAAGTGATTAAGAGCGACAAGTCCGGCCAAAAGCGTTTGAAGTTCGACCATGTTGACTTTTTTTTAACCAGTTAATTTTTCCGAAGTTTTCGCCACATCTGTCTATAAATGGATTGTTCGACTAGCATTTTGCAGCTAAGTCCTTGAATTTACAACACTTTGGGAAATGAGAATTTTAGGCAACGATGTAAACTCGTCTGACCAAACAAAAAAGCTCCTCAAATTTGAAATTCAAATAAAGCAGGCTAGGAAAAATGCCAACCATTATCATGTTCTGAGAAGGGCGACGTGGCATTTACGATAATCAAAACTTTTTTTGTCTCCGGCAGATGGATATATTGCTTTTCCAGTGGTACACGAACTGAATGTTTACTGATATGTGGTCTGACAGTGGAAACCTTAAGTCTAGATTAGTCTGCAAAAAGAAAGATATTTGTACGGACGGCGTAAGTATTTTAAAAACAAATCACCCAACATCATATACCCGACCGAGAAACTTCATGATAAATCACTCTCCAGTAACCTGCTTGATTCCGCAATAAAAATATTAGGATTGAATAACACTTTTTCTTTATGACCAATGATAACAAGAGATCTCGCGGTCGCACAACTTGGATAAAGTGTTCCATAATAACTGAGTAAATAATTTACACAAAATCACTAACAAATTTCTAAGAAAGAGCAGTGTTTAAACTTATTAAACGCGAAGAATCTTGGTGTATTGAAAGCGACAGAAAATTATACAATCTAGTGGGCTAACACTGCGAACTGGCCGGATCGATCACCATAAGTTCGTGTCTTCCCGGATAGTTTTATGAGGTAACTCAAGGAATATAGACCACGACATTTTAGCTAGCGCTAAGACGGGCATGTGGAAAAATACCACAAAAAATACGACGGGACCGCAAAACTGAAAGAAGCATCTTAAACTCCTTCATCACTAAATCGGATGAAACTGCACATTTAAGTCAAGTTTTTATTGTACACCAATATAAATGTAGAGATAGTTACATGAATAAATTCATTTTATTGTGATCGAATTTCTTTATAGTAGCGAAGAACCCACGAAAAAATTGTTCTCGGTCCCAAAGTGTGGCTTCGCAGTTTAGTTGGTAGTAGCGCCTAATTAGTATCTAGACGGTCTGGGTACGAATCCTATTGAAGCCTAAATTTTTTAAGGCTTCTTTTCTGAAATTTCTTCAATTTCAGCTTAACTGCGAGGATCATATCGTTTATTTGTTTACCATCCGCGGACCAAAGATAACTTAATTCATTAAACTGAGATCAATTCCTTTCACCGGAATGAAGAAGCCCCAATTTGCTTCGGTTCCGACATTTGGATTCGCACAGTCAGTTGTTACCAGCGATTGACCAGTATGGGTTTTTCTCATTATTATTTTTTTTTTAGGCAATGTCTTTAATTGCAACTCACTGGCAATTGGATGATCTTGTTTGAATAAAAAGATACAAACCCGTTTAAATTTACTTCAACCAAATGACAGCAATTATTTGATCGGTTCTGGTGGTTTTAAGGTGGCTCACAAGAATATTTCAAGTGCCATTGTAGAAGAACAAAGACAATTGAAAGCAAGATTTCTAATTAACAAATTCACGTGCCCTAATGAGATTCATTTTTGTCTATTTGTAATACGATAATCACAGATTGAACACGTATAAGGTAAGAGATCATTCTTTCAGTTGGCTTTGGCTAAATTTTAGGATCCACTCAATTTCTGTGAATTTCTCAGGCAAATGTATATTTTTCAGAAGAGAATATTTGCCATCTCGCAGATCTTCATCATTTGGATCGCTCATTTTTTTCTGTCATCGAGATTTCTTTCATTTTAGTACACTTTTATTTTGCATTTTGATGTGACAGTCGATGATTGTTTTTTTAAATGTTGGTTCCCTTCCCCTTGATGTCCTTTCACTCATCCTTCTCAACTGAACGATTCCACCCAGTCTCTTCCGGTCTACTGTGGCTTTCCGGCGTTTCACTGACTGTAAGGGATGTAATCGCGATACATGTATGTAATCTCTTGTTTGTACTCTTTCCGGAAAGCCTGCATATTCATTATAAAGGAATAGTTAAAAAACAAATTCTTTTAGGCAGCTGCCATGAACATTTGATACTGAACACCAAAAGCTTGGTCAGATAATTGTCATAAATGGCTGAAAAATGAAAGGTAAGTTTCTAAGTGAAATTCTGAAGACAATCTCTCAGCCAAGGGAAATATTCTGGGATTTTAAAGCGAGCTAGAATCAGACGTAAATCGAATCACCCAATTGCGTGTTTTCTTTAAATTCTTCTGTATATTTCTTGTCTTTGTTTTTGTTGTCATAACTCATTATTTATTCGTTATCTTTAAGTTGTCGGTTGTATTTCAATGTAAATCTAACTTTCTCGTTGAGAAAAGAACCTCAGATTTTGCAGATTTCTTGAGTAGTCCTAAGTCACTTTCTATGAGAGCGACATGGTCGTGATTATTATATACATAAAGATACATGTATCGTGCATAGTCACTGTGGGGGTTTAAGGTCGACAGACACGAGGGGACTAGTCCCTGCGACTAGTCCCTGCGACTAGTCCCTGCGACTAGTCCCTGCGACTAGTCCCTGCGACTAGTCCCTGCGACTAGTCCCTGCGACTAGTACTCGTATGTCGATCACAAGGTAACATGACTTTCCGCGCGAAGCCCAGCCTTTTGGACACACT